GAATGTATAGTTCACTCCCTTGTAAGTAATAGGGTTCTGAGGAAGCCAGAACTTAGAAAAGTGTGGACTCAGTGCAGCAGGGGCCTGAAGGGAAAATGTCTCTCTACTCTGCAGTGCTAGAACCATGTTACACTCTTGTGTTCTGACACTCTTCTTCCCAGACTCCAGGGTCCAACACTCACCTGATCCTCCAAGTCACCCACACTCTGATGAGGCCCTGGCTTCCTTCATTTTCATCCATGACCTTGACTCCCAGACTGTACTTTGACCCTGGCCCTTCCAGCTTTGATCTAGAAAACCCTGGCCTTTATGGCAACTTCCAACCAATTTCACCCAAGCTATGTGGATGTTACTGCCATCAACAGCTAGACTATAACCATTGCCATGTGCTGATCAATTCCATGGACCAGGTGGAGTAATGAAAAGTTTCTATTCATTAACTCCTTTAATTTTCACAACAACCCTCCTGATACATTATTCATAATTAGTCCCATTTTATAGGTAAAGAAGCCAAGGTAAGTAACTATCCTAAGACCACAGTTATTAAGTTGGGAAGCCAGGATTCTAGCCTATGTAGTCTTGACTCTGGGACTTGGGCTCTTAACCATTAGGCAATACTGGCCTCTAGGAGTGACCTTCTGGGAAGTCCACGTCCTAAAAACAGCTCACTATGTACTCCCACTCGATAAGCCAAGGATCAATGACAAGTGGGCATGAGTGCTTTCTTTGTTGAAATTGAAGCTTGAAAATTGGTTTAGAGTGTAAACTGTTAGAGATCAAACAATGATCTAAGGAAAATACCTATAGAAAGAGCCAATGAGAAGCCTGAGAACTCACTTATGAAGGGCAAGCAGGTCATGCATTGCTTACAGTGTGCTGTTGGGAAAAACACACTTAGGTGGTGAACTTAGGCAAAATGCTGAACACCACATGGCTCACACACATCTACCTGAAAGGCAGCCAAGAATTACTGCCATCTCCACCCAGAGGGGGCACCCCACTAAAAGCCACAAAGACAACCAGCCCTCTCTTCAGAGACTGCTTGTAATTTCTCACACTGTGGGAGATTTTTAATGGAAATACAATAAATTAGAGTGTTTCTATACTCTTCTATGTGATTCAGACTCAATGAAGCAATAAGCCTTTGGTCTTTATTTGTGAAAGACACCAATAACATTGAAAAGTAGCTCTAAGCCCTGTTTCACTGATTAAAACTTCTATTTCTCATGTATGACTCAATATTTTTTTAAAAATGAACAAAGCTAGATGTGACTAGGAATTGCTTGAGTTAATATGGATCAAAAATATTTGAAAATCAGTAGATAATCCCCAAACCTCATTTCAACCATTTAGATTCTCTTCTTTCAGAACTGCTAATGAGTTACCAATAGTTACTTTATTGAGCATCTGAAAGATGTACAGCATTGTACACAGCTTGAAAATGTCAGGTTACTTCTATCATACTCTCTGAAAAGTTCTCCTTAATTTTCATGGTTTTATAGTTTTCCTCCTGTGCTCTAGAGGGCATGCTGCTAGTAGCTTTAATGTAGCACTTACCAAGATGTTTCACAAATATGGTTTGTAGCATGCATTCTTCCCACCATATTTGAACTCCTTAATGATGTAACCCATGCATTATGAATCTCTACAGTCTTGATAACTAAATACAGGTTTGCTACACAAATGAATGATTGAAGAATGAAGAATGCTTCACTTTCACTCCTTCTCCCAACTCCCTAATCTACAATTTGCTGAAAGTACTGATGCTGAGTGAGAAGCCAACGTTCAAAAAGCACAATGGAAAAGAGGAGTCCAAAGGCATGACTGATCCATAGACCAAAAAAAAAAAAAAAAATCAGGCTCCATAAATGAGTAAGAGTGGTGGACTTCCCCCAGGGCCTAAGAACAGAACAGAGCCACAGCAGAATCTTCAAGTCAGAAGTTCAGTAACCCAAAATCCTACCTCAAAGTTCCCAAAGTTTGGAACAAGCCAGCAGTCTAGTACCTGGTGGAGCTTCAAGACCAACACAACCAGGTCCAGTGAACTAGAGGTACAGTTAACACTATTGGTCCAGAGTAAAGGGCCTTAGCCACCTAACCTCATGAATATTTTTTCATTATTCCTTCTAAGGTCTCAAAAAATGTCATGAAAGTCTAAATAAATAGACAATAAAGAAATGACTGTGGAAAAAAAGAAGACATTTCCAAATGGTTCTCAAGAAGCGGTTTGGATGTTCTATTCTTTGCGTGATGCTAAGTGACTCAAACTGCCATAGATGCTTCTCAGTTTCCAAATTTGGACCTTCCGGTATGCAAATATGTACTATAAGGGAAAACAGGTTACATGAAATGCAGTAAGCACGATGTCCCATATGGATGACAATCATTTTCATTTATTTCATTTATTGAGCATCTGAAAGCATTGCACATGCTAAATTCAGGGCCTAGAGCCTGTTTGGTGGATGAGAAAATCCTGCTTATGGTTTGAGGAAATAGTTGAGTGACAGTACACTTTTCCATATCTGCCATCCTAGGTGTAATGGGGCAACACTGGCTCCTGCTTTGCTCTCAGCTAGTCATAAAACTGAGGACAAGCCTGTTGCCTCCCTGTGCCTCAAGCTCTTCATGAGTTCTGTCTCTCTGGTCACTTCTAAGATTCCCTTTCTTTCATCCAGCAGGATTCTTGACCTGATGTACTAAGGCAAATCTTAACCCTCCTCTTTACCCATAGAAAAGTGTAGGCAAATACTGCTTAGGACTCTTGGATAAATCAAGTGTCATCTGTCCCTAACATGTACCATTCTTGTGCTCACCCTCCTAACCTTGCATCAAAAATTGATCAGCTTGGCAGCCTGCTGGCCCCTGCTTCACTCTGGGTGCAACTCAACTCTTTTTCTACAAAGTGTACCTCTTGCTACACTCTTTCTCATCCAGATCTGTTACCTTTCTAGACTCCTAACTTTTGCATCTAACTTTCTGATGATTCATGGGCTATACCAAGTTCGGTATTTTACCACCGTGGCCCTTTCCTAGTCACAGAAACTCTTTAGAACACTCAGAAAAATCCAGATGACTATACTAGCTGTGGAAGGCAAAGCAAAATCTGATTCTTATTGTTACCATTTTTAGTGCAAGACTTAAAATGAAAAGTGCTTGATCAAAAAATGGGAATGGCTTTCAAATTTCACCTGCATTTCTAGCCTCAAACACACTATAAAAATAATTTCCTGGGGCTGGGGATGTGGCTCAAGCAGTAACGTGCTCGCCTGGCATGCGCGGGGTGCTGGGTTCCATCCTCAGCACCACATAAAAATAAAATAAAGATGTGTGTCTACCGAAAACTGAAAAATAAATATTAAAAAATTTTCTCTCTCTCTTCTCTCTCTCTCTCTTTAAAAAATGTAATTTCCTAAGAGATAAAGATTCTTAAGTATTTACATACATAAAATTTTCCCCAGGATGGCCAGAATATTCTTTTATTTTTGTATTTCAATATGGATATACCATAACAATTATTTAAGGAGAGAAGTCAAACAGTTTTTTTGTATTGATATATTAAAAAGATGTAGTATGTTGCAGAGTATAAATTTTCATATTATTTAACATGTAGACCTTTGAGCTCAGTCTTGTCAGCCAGCGATTTAATGTACATCAAATTAATCCAAGCTTGGCTGAGGATATCCTTGGTTCTGCAGCATCCACTTAAGAGCACACTGTTAGCCTTGTGTTCCCTTTTTTACACCTGAGGGGCTGTATTTACTCCATTCAAGGCTGCATCCAAAATTTGTTATGCCACAATTGGCATAAAATGCTTATCGTTATCTAAAATAAAAATGGAATCTTCAACTTTGGAAGAAAATAAAACTCTAAAGGTTCTTTAGAACCATGGAAAGCTAAGAGACATCACAGGTTTTATATCTCTAAAGAAGCTATTTCAATGGAAAAGCATCCTCTGTACTTTCCCAAGGTCAGCTGAGTTGGGGAGAAGGACAAACAAAGGCTCAGAAATTGGCTGAGGATATTTAGATCGGTTCTGCCTTAAATCTCAAAGCGTAATGAGAAGAACAAAGTTTCTTCTTCCTTTTCTCAGAAAGCTTTTGGTTAAAAGTTATCCTAATGCTTCTTTCCCCTGTAATTTTTACTTATCATAAATGCACATCGGAATGTTTCAGGTGTTTTACTCTGTATTAGTGAATCACTGAAGTTATTAATGGCTTGGAAGTTTCACATATCTCTAGAGATACACTGCAGATTCCCATACCTAACCCCACCCTGAGCATTTCTCTTGGGTCATCTAAATTGCATCATATTTCTTTGCAAAAATAGGTGAACACCCTCATCAAGAGCCAAAATATAATGACAATTAACAGTGATAGAAACCCATTGTAAAAACAAAATGTTCCAGCTTTCTCTATTAAAAAAAAAAAGATCAAATTCACTCTGACTAGATACTATTTATTTTTTGAATTCTATAACTCCCCAGAATTGTCAAAAGTAACCTTGTAGCCAATCCGCTTGAAAACACTAAAAACAACCTGAAATAGGCCACCCATAGTGCCAAATGCAGTCTCAAACAGCAGAGCGATAGTGCCACCAATTCCCATGGCAATGTCCTTGCACACGACTGGAAGTGCACCCACAGTGTACACAGGGAAAGTGGCTACATCCACAAGGACTCGGAGAGGGATGCTCAGAACACGGCAAACGGTCTTCAGCAGACAACAAAGGATCCGAAGAATGGCTCTTACGACCTTGACCAGGACCTTGAGCACCTTCCAGGGTATGCTCACCAACTCTTCTCCAATAGCCAAGAAGTATGAGATGATAGCCGAGCCCAGGCTGTAAAGGCAACTTTCTATGCCATCAACCACCTGCTTGGTAACACACCACAGGAAATAGACAGTGTTCTTCAGGATTTCCACCACAAGATAATAAATTAATTGGAAAAACATTATGATTGGGGTAGCAATGAAACCTATGAGTTTTCCCAAAAAGCTACGACTTCCCTCAGGTGTCTCTGGAGGCAGCAGGGCAGACCTCTTGCTCTTGGTGCTGGGGAGGGGACTAGAGCTTTCTTGAGATTGAACCATTCGCTCCTCATCCTGGACTTGATTAACCATTTCGAGGATCTTTTTCATTTTCTCTGTGTCTTGCTCAGTCCCACCACAGTTGTTCTGGAAAAGCTGAGGGTTAAATGGAAGCAGTTTCTCGAGGTCTTTCACCATCACATCTTCGATGATGTCACTGTCCCCGGTATGCTTGACAAAGCCCATGGCCCAGCCTCCTCCAGGGGCAGCACAGCAGGCTGCCAGCCAGACAAACTCAGGGATAGTCACTTTGTCTTTAACTTTGCTGCCTGAGGGCACTGCACCTGTGATGATATACAGGTCCTCCCCGTTGCCACAGTGCGGGACTAAGGCCTGGTCCACCAGGCTGTTGAGATTCATGTACCATCGTTCTTGGAAGGACTGGGTCATGGGAACTGAATTTGTGAGAGTGAATGTGGCCATCTGGAGATCACTGCTGAGAGTGAAGGGGTACAGCTGTCCTCTTTGATAAACAGAATCAAGGTAATCTGTATTCAAGGCTTGCTTGCTTCCCAGATTGTTCACAGAGGTGATGGCCTCAGCCTCATTCATCACTTCCTCAAGGCTGCTGTGGGGGTCATCGATCTGCAAGAAGAAAACAGATGCTGAGATGCATCCCCATCCAGAGCAGAGGGTACACAGTTGGATCATTCCACTAAGACTCTGGGGAAGTCCCTATTACTCTAACATTTCTAAAGCTGAGTTTGGAAAGACTTGGTGCTCAGATATACATACATTGCATTCTAGTATTTCACAATCCTGGAATTTGAAAGCATCCTTCAAAAAGGTTGTTTTCTATTTTACTCCTTGTATTTCTCCCCATCCCTGATCTGCAGCTCCATGCCCTCACTCACACACATAAACACACAAAGCTGTGGCATCTTTTTTTTCCCCCCCTAGGAATGAACCCAGAGTCTTATACACATTAGCACATGCTCTACTACTAAGTTACAAGCCAGCCCATGGCATTCTTTTTGAATCTCCTCAACTTTTAGGAATTTCATAGTTCTTTTTTGGAATATTTCCCCATGAGATTCAAAGTAATTTTAAAAACAAAAAAAGAGGAGAATAGATCTCAATAGGCCCATAAAAATCAGAAATGCACTCAAGAATTATGTCAGTGCTGCCTGCAATTTAATGCACAGGTTCCTCACAAATACTTAAGATTTTAGGATGTATAAAAACAACTGCTCTAATCAGACCATTTAAACCAAATGGGAGGAAAACATAATTTGTCGTCAGTTATTAGATATCAGACAAAGCTCAAATTCAAATTAGACTGACTGCTGTTTGAGATCAGGATTAACCAAGGACTATATTTTTATTTCCCAAATTAGACTGTAAATTACTTGACACCAGGGGCTCTGTACAGTTTCCATAGAATCCAGCTCAAGGCCTAACACACACAGTATCCAGCTCAAGGCCTATTCTTATTCATGTTCAGGCCTTGAGATGCTCATCATTGCAGTATTTAAAATAGCAGGAACAAATCCACATTTGCAAAAACAAGACAAGTTAAATAAATAATGTTATATTCATCAAACAAATATCTCAAATCCATTAAAAAGCATTTATAATTATGGTAAATTCACAGTGGTAGGAAAATATATGCTATGATGTTGAAAGCAAAATGCAAAATATAAAATTCAATGATCATAATTTTTTTAAAAAAAAAGCCAAAAATACACAACAATAATCTTTAGAAGCAGACACAAGAAGCCAACAGTGGTTGTTTGCTTCTTGGGGATGCAAATGTTGTTGTTGTTGTTTTGTTTGTTTCCTCTTGATGTTCTTGTTTCCCTCTCTGTACTTCCCCTACCTACATCAAACCATAAATTATTTATAATATATGTAATTTTAAAAGGAAATCAACAAACAATTAAACTAATTAAAATAATGTAATGCACAGGTTCCTAGGGAATTGACTCCCTAGTACTGGTGTCACTCGCTAAATCCATCATACAACCCCCCAGTGTAATCAAAGCCACAGGAATTGTGTTGTACCTCCCATCTGGGCACAGCACAACCTCACATTTTTCCATCTCTGCAGTGGCAGGTGCAGGCCCTCCCTCTCATGCATGCTCATGTAGGGGTAGGGAGGGCAATGGATGAGTGATTTGTCTTGAAACAGGAATATCTGCTGAAGCCTAATGGAATAACCCACAGGTTGAGCTACTCACTCACTCCACTCTTCCCCCAGTCTTAGATGGAGCAAGGATCCTAGACGCTCTCCACTCCCACCACCTCCCCTGTAAGACAGAGATAAGAAACTCATTCATTTTGCAAATCTCCTATCTCTGTCCAACTGAAAGATATACCCCAAGGAAATATTCACTTCATTCCTAAATCATGAGATCAAGATATGGCAGAGTTAAGATCCATGGGGCCTTGGGTATAAGATGGTTACTGGGGCATTCTGTCTGTATTTAGCCTGGTGTAATGTCTTCAGCTGTTCTAGGGGAACTCTGGAGATGGTTTCTGAATTGGCGCCCTGTGACAGAGCAGAGGCAGCATTGCCAAAGTGCCTTCATCACAAGGGCCACCCACTAGTGAAATGGTGCCCACAAGAATAGTTGGCAGAATAGTTGAATAGTTGCTGGGACCACAGCAAAGACAGGGATTCTTGGATGAGGAAAGGAAAAGAAGCAAAGTGAGGGAGGCAAGAGGAGAAAAGGGAAAAATAGAAAAGGGAAGAAAAATGGGTGGGGGGAGGAAGGCTGGCAGGCATGTAGTATCCTGTTCTTAGGCAGAAACTGGGATACTGGGTTGACTCCCAAACTGCAGAACATGATCTCTGGGTTGCTACAGTCAGAGGAGGCTGAGCTGGGTACTTTCTACATTCTCTCAGTTCACTTGGGTTCATGGGGCTACAGATTTCTTCTGCAGTCATGCACCCAGCAACCAGGTTAAGACTCTTGCCCAGGTGCCTGGGAAGGTCAGGGCCCAATTCCACACTGGGCCCTGTGTGCTCCTCTGAGCAGCCCTTCCTATGAATAATTAATGAAACTATATGTACTGGACATGTTGGAGGTAGAAAGCACATCTTCCCTCCCCTTCCCTCTGACTTTTTCAGAACCCCATATCCATGATCACTATATTGTTACAAACCCTAGATTTGACGATAATATCATGTCAAAAATAGAAACAGAATGCCTGGATAGTCTACCTACATACTAATGTGGGAGGTGTTGGAGACTAATATTCTTTGAATTATACCTTAAATATTTTTAATATAATATACAGAAGGTGTTTTGAACTAACTTTTTAGATGAGGAAACTAAGACACAAAAAAATTAAGTAACTTTTTAGTCATCCAATAATGATCAGCAGGATTAGGATTTGAACTGGGGTTCTGCCTTAAGCATGTGTCACTAAAGCCATACCATTTCCCATCATCTTCATGGACATAGCTCTACAGTTTCCTCTATCAGAAAGTAGGGAAAAATGGCCACACTGTCTGCAATTCCATCTTCTCTCTAGAAGTAGGCACTGTTCCTGTTAGCACCTCCCTTGACAGTTGCCCTTTCCTTCTTCACACCAGCAAAGGTAACACAGAAGAGCAAGCATCCGGGCACAGTAGACCTTCTGAGGAAAAATCAGAAAATCAGCCCCACCACAATCTCCTCCACTCCCACTCCACAGGGTGAATTAAACAGGAAAGGGACTCTATGTAACCAAGGTGACCCAGATAAATTGTATAGCTTAACGGACTCTGGTTGGTGTTCCTTAAGACCTTCTATTTTCAAGGAACAAAGACTCCTTATAGTTTCTCCCTATAATGATGGGTTCATTAGAAGGATAAAAGGCACAGAAACCCAAGAAAAGTTTAAATAACAGGGTCCACAAAGACCCAGGCATTGTGGTGTACCTCTACTGCTGGAAATAGAAATGGATTCCAGGCAGTGCAAGAGAATTTGGGCAGAAGGTGTGTGGTTGAGACTAATCAGACACTACTGCCTGCCTTTGAGAGACAGTCACACTTGACCTGTCAGCAGTCCTCTTTCCCTCCCACCTGGATTCGCCCCCTATTTCTTCCTGCACAGCTCTTCTCTTCTCCAGGGCTGCTTCTAACACTTGATCGCTGTCCCTTCATAATCCGAGCTTGCACAGGGACCACTGTGCACTCTCTAGCCACTTGACATATCGTTAACCTTCCATTTTAGCCTCTTCTGTTACTTAATTTCCTACTTAAATGCTAAAAAAGACAAGAGTCCGATTTCCTCAGCTCTTCTTTTCATACCAGGCCATGACAAACAGGCTGTCTTTGAGTCCAGTGCCCACCTCTGTCCATCAGCCCTGTGTTGGGTGTTGGGGAAAGAACTCTGGTGGTCTGCATAAGGCTGCTCCTCCATTGGGAACCCCGGCGGTGGCCACACTGTAGACTTGGCTTGTCTGCTCATGGCCCTAGTGCAACACACTGAAGTGGGCAAATTAATGTGTATATCACTACAAAATTAAAACACAAACTAAAAACTAGGGAGATTTCCCAAGGTTTATCTAATCCAGTATTACATCTCTGACAAAAATGACAGCAATGTTTTATAAGAAGATATGCTGATCTTTTATAAGCCTTCTATTCTCTCTTTGGAGAACCTTCTATCCTTTCTGTGTTGTATCCTCTTTTTCCCATTTTAATCTCATTATCTCTCCATAATGCATTCTAGGTGAGTTCCTCAGATCTGGCTTCCAATTCACTGGCTCTCTTTAGCTATGCCTAGTCTTTTTTTGTGTGTGTATGATGTTAGGGATTGAACCCAGGGCCTTGTGTATGCAAGGCAAGCACTCTCCCAACTGAACTATATTCTCCTCCCTATGTTTAGTCTTTTTGACCTGTTTATGTAGATTTTTTCCCATTTCAATAATATTTTTCTTGTCTAGAATTTCTATTTCAAACTATTTCTATCTAATTCTTTTTAACATTTCATTAGTTTAGACACAATTATTTTAAAGTCCCTTACAATATTTTCTATTTATTTGTTGTGGTTTTTTTTTTTTTTTTTCAGTTTATTTTGTTGCTTCTAATCAACTGACTAACTTCAAGGTGGTGGGTATTTACAAGTGCTCTGCAGTTTTTGTTGCTGGACTTGACTTCACAAGAGGCCCAGGGTGTTCTGTTGGTGGTGGGTGGGTGGGACAATAAGATTACTTATTGCAGTTGACTCTGAGTTATCTTCCCAGTTCAGGGTTTCCACATGGAGAAGGCAGTGCAAATTTGAACCTACACAAAGGGAAGGTGCTGGCTTTAGGCTTAGGTCTGGAGGGTGCCATGTGTACACTCATGACATGGTGTAGGTAGCTGCCTTCTATAACAACCTGTGAGTCGAGTTTTCCTGCCTGGTTCACCAGTGCTGCAGCACCTTCCCAGCTCCCAGCTCCACCCGTGAACCCAGCTCCAGTTCCATGTCATGCACGTGGTATGTGGCTTTGACTTCTGTCCCCAGGCATATCAGAGACCTAGTTCCTAATATCTTTGTGATTTCCCACGCATAACTTTGGCTCTCTATTTCTTATATTTATGGCATCAAGAAGGAATTGCTTAAGTAGGAATTTAATTTTTTAAAATAATATATTTTATCCAGAATTTC